CGGTCTCTTCGGCGATAGGTAATAGGTTATAAATCTCAATGTCATTAAGCTTAACATTTTCATCCAGAGATTCTAATATTAAATGTAAATTAGTAAATTATTAACTTTTTTACCTAGGTTTAATCTTTAATTTACGATAAAAGAAGACAAAGTGCCCTTAAGACTGGGAAAAAATGTGTGGTCATTAACTCCGACAAAAATGTATTATATGTTTTTGCTTTAATAATTGTTTTAAATACAGAAAAATGTTATTTGAATGTAAAATGCTCTAATGCATCGTAATCATTGTAAAATACGCAAATCCTCTTATACGTAATTACTTTCGGTTACTCTCCTTTAAAGTGAAAAAAAAAATCGGATATATTTCAAATTCCGAGCCATGAAATAAAATACAAAATAGGTATTTGAGAAAAAAAATTGTACTAATTTTATTTAATTTGATATTTTTTACCGTTTATTTTTGTATCGAATTCGGATTTTGAATCCTTATTCAATACCCGGTTTTTTCGTATTTAAGAAATTACTTAAGTATAATAGTTTGATACAGGAATCGACTTTAAATGTATTTGTGCATGTACATCTATGCAAAGTATTTACGTTATCACGTAACATTAATTAGAAGTCTGAATAATTTATTCTACATCAAAAAAATATATATTCATTAGAATTAAAATATGTCAAGGTTATTCACAATTAGTTTCATGTGATCAAAATAATAATAAAACTAATGTTTAGGTTAGTTTTAATAGCAATGGTAAATATTTAATAATTTATATCAAGTAAAATTACGATAAAACAGTCAAAGTGACGAAATGTTGTGATTGTTTGCAACACCCATATTATGTTTTTTTTTTAAATGATTGGCTCTATTGATTGCGTGTGTGCGTTGTTGATTATTGAAGACAGTTTTAATGCAATTGTGGTTTTAATATTTATGTTAGCTTGAAATTAAATAGAAATAGATCGGAAATTTACCTTTGATAAGCACAAAACTCATTTGGTTTACATTTTATAGGGTATCAGTTCGATTTATTTCTACGAAATTTTGTAAACATCTTGAAACTTTACAGTTTAAAATATATTCTTACCAATTTGGCCATAGGGGGAGTTCCTTATCGAAGATTTATAATGAGAAACATACATGTGACTATGACAACATAAGACGACTGAGAATTGCAGACTTAAGTAGTTTTACATGGTTGAGATGATAAGGTACAACATTCAATATGTTCTAAGTTATTGCACTAAAAGGGTGTGTATGAAAGTGGTTGCCATTCAAGGTTTTTAAATTGCAAATCGTCGATAAGCAAGTGCGGAAATTACCTCGCCGCAGTATACGAGTAAACATACATTTCCTGACCTGAGTAGTACAACCCTGACTCTTAGAATCATCTCATATCTATATGTATTTAATTATTATTAAAAATACGTGTTACAAATTGATTGTTTACTGTTCCGGTTGATGTTTTATCGTTATTAATTATACCGTTTTTTTTGTTTTAGTCTATGGAATAAAAACAATATTTGAATATTCTTGAATCATAATTCTTTCCTTATGAGATTATATGGCGATGTTTTAACAGTCGCAGACCAGAATGATCCGGTTAATATGAATAATTGTTTTTATCTTTAATGAAATCACAATTGTGTAATTAGTATTTTCAATAAAAAGTGTAATATTAGTACCTCAGACAAACCTCGTAAGTTTCAGACATGAAAAACCTATCTAACGAACATGAGAGATCGTATAGTGCTATGCTTAATTAAATAAAAAAATCCTGAGTCCGATTTCACGAAGTTAGTCACAAAAAATACTCTTAATGTGGGTAATTACTCGTAAATATAAGCAAAAAGTAGAATCACATAATTAATACAATTAAAATTATCTAAAAGAACATAAAAAAATCAGGTTTTATACTTACTTTTGGGTTATCCGTTATGAATTTCGTCAATTTAATTCACACAATAATAATTGAAATGGGCGATACATGCGCCGCAGCGTGTTCCGCTGCGCTCGAGCACGTTGTAACCGCACACACCACCGACTACACTATATATTGAAGCTACATTTTGACGTACATTCTCATTACAAGTTGTAACAAATGTATAAGAAATTAAAAAAATACTAATTCTATTGACGCATGCGCTATCATTTATGTCAGATGAACTCGGTATGCTTTGGAATGCTACGTAAAATTAGAAGTCAAAAAGCATTGTGTCATAAAAGTTTCTTTAAAAATAAAACATACAAAATACTAAATACAGTTTTTTTTTTTCACAAGACCACATCTTCACGTATTTGGAAATAACAAAACAATCTAAATTCTCTTTTATCGTTTATATTTTTATCGGATCGTATATAATAATACCAACGTTAAAGAAACGTAGTTACAAATTGCTTAAAAGATGCACGAATCAAACATCGAAATAAGATTCATCATTTTTTTAACTGACTTCAAAAGAAGGAGGTTCTTAATTCGTCTGTATGTTTTTATATAAAATTTAACCAGTTTAAAACACGCAGTGTATTTTATATTTTTTGTGTTGTTACTGAAATATAATTAAATGATGTTTCTTCTCAACTGTACAACACGTTAGGAAGCCGTTTTTTCTTGGGATTCTCTAAATTCGATATGTTTTTGTTATTGTTGTTGTAACACGATAAAAACTTACAACAATTTATTATATTTTATTCCCGAAATAATTTTCAATGTAGTTACTTAATTTAGTTCATAATAAGCCAGTAATCCACACAATTGTTAACAAAAGGAAGTGGTATTTTATGTATGTTTCATTTAATATGATTTTTTTTCGTAGAAAAACAAAACAGTAAAACAAAACTACTCGGGGCATAAAATACGCATACGCTAAGAAAAAAGGTGCAATCTAGCGAAAAGCTTTTTTATTAGGCGGATAATAATATTTTATTATCTTAAAAACCTAAAAGATGAAAATGAACGATCTCACTTGATATTAAAAAATTTGGCGACTTACTGCATTTGCAAGATTAATTGTTTATCCTTTAAAAATACCAAAAGTTTATATAGATAACTTACTTATAATGAACGCAACATTAAATACTTAACCTCACCCTAATACTGCGTTTAAATATTGCAATATTGGCAGGTAATTCCCCAAAGCTGATTAAAACAAGTTTAGATACCAGTTACCAATTTAATCTGATCGAATGTGCTTTTAGAATTACTCAATGTTTAGTTTAAATGTTTTCTGTTTACTGATTTTCCGTGATCAATTGAATTAAAAACGTAAATGGTATTAAAATACAAGATTGTTCTGCTCTGCCTAACTTTTCATTAAAGTTTTCTTGTTTGCACAGAGTAATTTTGCGCGAATAATGTATGTTTTCCATTCCAAATGAACACCCAAAAATTGTAAACAGACAAACGTTAAATTCCATACATGGCTGTCGTTAGATTGCATCACATTTTCATCGGAATTGTTTACAAAGTGTCGAGATGCCACCAGATCATGTAACATTTTTGTCTCGAACATTATTGATACTACCAACGACAGAATTTTTTTTTCGTTTTGTTGCAATTCGTGAAATCACTATAATATTATTAGAAGTAAATGTAACCATTAAACAGTAATTTCTAGATGTTTTTGTAGTTATTAGCAAAGTATTCCGCAGTAGCAGTGGCAGGAGGCTAATGGCTCGGTATCTTTGCGTCAATCCATATCAAATTTCCGTTTGTGAATTTACGTCGACTCATGTCTGTTGTTGGTTTCCGCTCCGCCGCATCTTCTCACGTGGCAGTTAATTGTGGGAATTAACGTATACCGTAAAATATAAGGTTATCTATAAGTAACTGATTAATTTTGGATAAAAAAATTAAGAGAAACTCATTAAATGCTTTAAATATAAGCCTACAAGGTAAAATGCTGCGTTTTGCCCCTTTTTTACTTTAAAGTACGATCGTTCAGGGCATTCACCTGATGGTCAATGATATGCCTCCCACTAATCTGTGGAACTGTTTAGGATCTTGCCTCAAAAAAAAACCCACACACCAAAGACCATTTTAGGGCTAAACTTGCGTAAGATCGCATGCAATTTTATGTTTTGCGATAAATCACAACCGGATTTGGCCAGCATAATTTTAGCTTGACCCTCTACTGATTTTTGTGAATGTCAAATCGAAGATGTGTCTGCACAACTTGTTTCACAAGTCGCTAGTTACCAGAACAGCATTAAATGCGTTAAACGAATTTATGAAACTGGTTTGTCTAATCTACCTATGTACGTTCCTAGTTTGTAAATAAATTACAGACGTTTTCCTTAATGTGATTTCCTTGATTAACTAACATTACCTAGCGACAGGTAAATGATAGTAAATCAGATACATAAACATTAAATATCTCTATTAATCTTAGTTATTAGATATTGGCGAAAGCTTTAAATTAATGACGTAACTGCTGAACATGAACGTATCTTTATGAATATAGAAACTAAAAGTATTAAATGTGTTTCTTTCGTCAAACACTAGTTATTTTAGACCGAATAAATATATTACTTGATAATAAAAATAGGAAGTTATGGAAATAGATTTTGTTTATTATTACCTAAAACAAAATAGTTTATCAAATATTTGGGTCAGACAGAAGAAATCAAAGGTCAATAGAGATTAAAAATCCCACTACACAAATAGGTATATTTCGTCCAACCGACTACAATTTGAGTTAGATAAATAAACAATACGACAACTTTGCAATGAAAGCGTTGTTTTGGTTGTCTTGATTTGAATCGCTGCAGCTTTGAAGAAGTATGACCATTTAAAAACTAGGACGATACTAAAACCAACTAAAATCAAGGTTGAAGGTTTATCATAATCGTTGCTTAATATGCTGATAAAATAATTTAAAAAATTTTGGTTTATACAATATTTACTTAAATAGTATAAACCTCTTTTTGGCTGGTTTTTATAAAATAAAAAAAGAACCCAAGTGAATTTCATATCTCTCATAAGTGTAGAGGTTATTTAATTATCAAAAACTTATGATACCACTATTAAGACTTTTTAGTTGGTATATTTATGTACTTGTTCATTATTTTTGCATTTTTTTTAATTATTTTCGGAAATTGACAAAATTAAAAAGTTTTATTCTTAAATTCATGACATTTTTTTTCTGGCAACATTAAACGTGTTCTAATGTTATTTGTGACAGACAGACAGGAAGTGACAGTGACAAATGACATTGACAACATTGAACATCAATGTGTTACACACGTGTTGAATTTAATAACATTAAATCATTTCTTTTGTCGTTAACTTTTCTCAAATGGCAGTTATTCAACGTATAAAGTAATATTTGTTACATTCATTACATTTAAAAGTGTTATTTATGTAATTAATGTAATTTTCAACGTAACTTTCAGAAAACCTACAACGCGCAAAGGCAAAAAAGTTTTACTTGCCAGAGAACCAAAGCCTATTGAAGGACCTAAGCAATGTATTTTTCTACAAGGTCGTAATCCGTCTGATAGAACAAGGAAACTATTAAAAGATGTATATGATTTGAAAAAGCCAGACGCCGCATTTTTAAGCCGTAAAAATGACTTCGTACCCTTCGAAGACGCTAGCCTTATTGAGAAGTGAGTTGTCTATTGTATTAGAAATATCTCATTTGTTTTAATATCTCAATGTTTTTTTTAATGTTTAAATAGGGACACATAAGTTTCTTGTAAACATTTAGCTCTTTGTATATCTTGACAATGTTCAAAATATTCTGTAATTAAATTACAGGTTGTGTTACAAAAAAGAAGCGGCATTGTTTGGTGTTGGATCACATAGCAAGAAGCGCCCACATAACATAATACTAGGAAGAACATTTAATTATGGCATTTTAGATATGATAGAACTGGGGGCTGATAAGTTTAAAGCCATGTCTGAGTTTCGTAATATGAAAGTGCTGGCTGGACTAAAGCCCTGCTTGATTTTCAACGGTCCAGCATGGGAATTAAATCAAGATTTAAAAAGATTAAAATCATTGTTTATTGACTTTTTCCACAGAGAAAAGGTGTGTATTAGTTTAATTTATTTGTGCAATGAGTTAATTGTCATATGTAATGAATTTCAAGTAAATCTATTTTATCTGCTACAACTATATTTCTGTTCTGTAATTACATTGTAAAGTCAAAGAGAAATGCCGAATATGTTAATAAATTAATAAAATTCACATAGAATTAAATGCATGCATCTACTATTTTTATTTATAGTACATATTTCATGAAAATAACTTTTTCTTAACATTTGTATATTGAACTTTTAAGTCTTAAAATGTTTATAACTAATTTTCAGGTAGAAAGTATAAGACTGCAAGGGCTGGAGCATGCTTTAAGTTTTACTGCCACCGATAATGGTTCAATTTATTTGAGATCATACAAAATCCTGCTAAAGAAAAGTGGTCAGAGAACACCTAGAATTGAACTGGAGGAAATAGGTAATACCAAGGTTTTAAGTAATTTAATGTGTTTTGTTACAATTACATTACTATCTACATATGGTACTCATTGTATACTATTATTATATTATTATATTACTATTGTATCACCAGCCAGTTGTCTAGGTTAAGTCTAATTGTGCCGAACACAACTGGTTCGGGTCCCACGGCACAACTTACCCTTAGTCTATGCATGCATCAGAGGATTATTATAAACAAGGGCAGTATAGTGGACATAGTTACCTAGACATTTCTTCCACACACCTCTCCACAAGCCCTGTTTTCTACCATATTAGAGACGGTATTCAATGTAACAAGTAGTGCGGGGGAATAAAAATAAACCTGTATTAACCCTGGCCAAGAAATTTAAACTATATGTTCCCTGCTGAATGTAGCGAACCAATATAATATGTGCAGAACACAAGGCATGATGGCAGCAATCATTACTATTACTATGCCAATGATGGTTTAATTTACCGAATACAGAATTCTAACATTACATATTATTATAGGTCCTTCAATAGACTTTAAATTGAGACGAACTAAGTTGGCGTCAGACGATCTTTATAAGGAATCCTGTAAGATACCTCGTGAAGTGAAACCACTCACAAAGAAGAATATATCGAAGGATGCGTTTGGTACAAAGTTAGGTCGCATTCACATGATGAAGCAGGACGTCGCGCGACTGCAGACACGTAAAATGAAAGGTCTTAAGAAAACACCAGAAGAAAAGAAGCAAATGTTACGTAAGAAAAAGTTAGCAAGAAAGCAGACTACGGCTTAATAAATGATATTTAATGAAAATGTTGTTTAATTTCTTACAATGTGAATGTACAATTTTATAGAAATTTAATACTTTTAGTGTGGTGTGTAGGTCACCTGTGAACAATCATAACACCTCTCATATACCTGTTAGTAAACAGAATATGTCCTGTACATTGTAATGTAGATGTTTGAAATACTTTTTAAGTAAGATTTCTGTTTCCATAGACATTTTTTAATATAAGAATACCAAAGTTAAATTGAGTGCAGTATTGGCAAACTAAAAAATATTCGTCGATCAGGGCAGTAATAACTTGGGAGTTTAGTGTACAGTATAATAAAATACTATTGTTCTAAATTATTTGCCTAACAAAATGGAGTAAAAAAGTAATGACTTTATTAAAACCTAATTATCAATTACTAAAGAATTAACGCATTGAAAAAGGATTCATACTAAATAGTATTGACTATCTGCGAGATTATTAAATAATATTGGCTAGTCCATGGATTTTCCATTTCCAATATTATAATGATTGGTTACGCTAATACATGCATTTCGTAAACCGACAAAACCCAGGGATATTTTTAAAAAAGTATTAAGGAAAAACCATACGTGTACGATGGAAAGACGCGAGTGTTGAATATTTAATGAAGTACAAATACGTAATATGCTAATTTTAACGATAAGCAGCATCTTTATATTAATCTTTGATATTTATTTGGTCAGAATTACATTGAACTTGAACCAATAAAATTGGATTAAGTAAAATATCTTTTTACGTAAAATATTAATACATTATTAAAATAGTTTTCTAATCTTTTAACCATTCCCGAACCAAGGTTTAATCTTTAGCTGGGATATAGTTCAAGATATTAATCTAATGGAAGGATTCGAACCCATGACCGCGAAGTCCGTGTCTTTTGGCGTTTCTAAATATAGCGCTTATGTTTTAATGTAGGAGATGTGTTAGCTATCTTCATTTAGGATTTTACTTGTTTTTTTGAAATTCTATATTTTCCCTGTTAGGTCGCTACCCTTTGTTGTGGATAGATATAGGTACATCTTCCGGTAGATTGTTTTGTAAATTAAGGACTAACTACACAGACTCTTTCTAATCGTTGGCATTGACAACGGACAACAAGCAGCCTAGATTATACTTTTAAAATAAACAATAACTTGTTACGTTGATGTCATGATTGATTAGTTCTGCGATATCCCATGATATTTCTGTTCAAGGTAGGGAATCGTATCGATTTTGTGTATTTAATTACAATCTATTAATATAATAGTCTACAAGGATGCTAGGTTAGGTTGCATGCATTTTTATTTTTACATTACAATTGCCGGTGTACAAATTAAAAGGGCCTTAGATTTGTACTTTCTAATCCTTGGGTGCATAAGGAAATCCGGCAGCGGCTCTAAATTGAATATTTGTGAACATAATATCGACGACCTCTTTGTACCGAATTGAGCAGTTCTAAATTATGACGCAACATGAGTATACAACAAATAAGAATTTAAACCCATGAAGTAGAGGGGTAGGCAGAGTTTACTGGTGAGCATGACCCACTGATGTAAAAGAAGGAAAAGTACCAATTTCCCTTAATAAATAGTCCGTTCGTTTACGTGGTTTTCCTGATTATATTGATAATAGTTTCTTTAAATAACGAATGAAACAATCAAGTTTCTCGTGCCTTAGTTACGAGAAATACAAATACCCAATTGTATCATATTATAGTTAATCTTTAAATCCAATTTTATCCTTCCTTGTGCATCGTAATGGAAAAACCATGCAAGCAAGCAGATGTCTCGTGCGGGAAAGTTGTGTATAAATTACGAATCGTTATATCACATTTTAAAATGTAGGTTCTATTTCATTGACCTGTCGTTACATTCTATAAGGATCGACTTATCTCAAACTATAATATGACAACTAATTTACAACGAATATTTGAAGTATCATTCCTTTAGTGTTTATGACTCAAAAATTTCTGTTATGTCTAAAATAATGTGAGAGTCATGACTATGTATATGTGCCAATGTTCTCTTTAATTGGAAAAGTATGGAAAGTAAATAAAAGACATAAACAAACATAAGGAAGTGATTTAATGCCGCAACGAATCATAATTCTGCATTAAATTAATAGAATCTTAAACATCTGTAACAATAAAGGGTTGCAAGAAACCGGCTAGCTAATAATTTTAATTATTCGCAAAGGCTAATGAACGAAGTAACTATACAATGTGAAGTTGACACAATTCCATATTATTTATTTGTTTTAAAATTTAACATGCGCAGATGTTGTGTAGGTGATTTTTTTATAACGTGAATGACTTACGTTTTGATTTAAAGTTAATTATGTAAACAAGGCAGATATTATAATATGTGAGTTTTATAGTTATTTTGTGAACAGTGAACATTGTGAGTTAAAGTAAGAAATAAGAGTAGTTAATATTATTTTGCTAGGACATTTTTTTAAGCTTTAGCGTAAATTGTAGTTTGTTTATGGTTAAGGGTTAAAGATTGCAGTCACGAATAGTTAATTATCGACAAAAAACTCTGTGCTTTAGAAAAGTGATGAGAAAGTTGACAATGAAATAGAAAAATATTTAAAATAAACCATAACATTGCGTTTATTATGACGAGGAAAAAGATTTCTTTGTAAATGGTTAAATTTATGAAGATAGTTGGATTGATTTAATTCAGTTTTTAACACCGAAGCAGAGATGCTATATAGTTTCTATAGGCTGTAGACGGTGTTCTCGGAAAGAGGTTTGTCCCCGACAGCTTTTCAATGACGCGACAAGCGTTTACCTTAACATATTCCGCGCGAAATGCGTCAATGCTATGCGACGAAATTTATTTTAGTAATTTAAACCTGTTGAAGATTTATCATGTGGACAATGTATGAGAAAGTAAAATGGACATTACGAAGAAGTCAAACAAAATTAAGAAGAGAGGAAGAATAAAGAAAGTACGGATGGCTTGGGCGTCGCCTGAGGAAGAAGAGGTTGTGGCAATTGGAAAATATAGCTGGTTATTTTTATCGTTTTTTTATAGTCTATTAGAATTAATATTGTTATGTGGTCGAACAAACGTTAAATTTTATTAGTTGACACCGTTCGGTTCTGGACAAGGACATTTTATGGCTGTATGAAGCTTTAACGTTTGTAAATCGTTTAGTAAGTACTTTTTTCATTGTGACAATTTAATTTTATGTAAAACCATAATTTATTGACAGTTAACTTTTAATTTAATTATAATTTTAATATTCAAAATTATTTTCTTAATGGTTTTATACATTTTTCCTAAGATTATAAATAAAATAATAAATTACTAACTGTTTACTTAGTTTCATAACTTCAATTTGCATTACACTTAGATGCCTAATGGATTTCTTGTTATAAATACTTTGATTGAAGCAATTACATCTATTAATTGATAGGTGTAATTTACAACTACATAGTTGAAACTATTTCTTATCTAAAGAACGGTTTAGTAAACTAAAAAATAAAATAAAACACGCAGCTCAAAGTATCCTAGCTCTAATTTAATTTCTCTATATTTGGTTAATTTTGGCTTCACCTCACTCGTTTCATACCTTCGTTACTTATGGAGACTACTTCCGCCAGCAAGCATGTGCATTAGCGCTAGTAGCATTTGACAATTTAGTAAAATACATCCCATCTGACCTTATGACTAGGAGTTGGCAAGTGCCAGTAATGTATTTACGATTGTGCTGTAGGTATTTTGTAGCTTTAAACAATGAAACTTATTAGTCTTTTTAAACCGTATTTTTTGGAACATAAACAAAATGCAGATGTTGACTTTTGAGCGGTAGTGTATTTACGATATATCACACACCTAATCATTACTTCCTTAATTTTTAAAAATAAATTGTATAGTGTAGTGTAGGTGTTATGATATCCGTTAATATTGTTCTGAAGGCGATTTCCTTCTAATTTAAGTGAAAAACCTTGACTAGAAGATAAGCTATTTCTAAAATTATTGTTTGAACCCAAAAAATACTAAGAATCTTACACATTTGCTTGAAATAAGTTACATATAGGTAAAAGGAAGTTACGTTTGCTATAATTATTCCTTGAAAATCTTTTCTAGTATAATAAACTGTTCTTTAATAGTACGTTTTATTATATAATGTGGTGCTTTTATCTAAATGACTTAGGAAGCTAATGTTTTCCCGCTATAGTTTTTATGTATGTGGGTTTATGATTTATATGTAATCTTATAGGACTGTCTACAGCCTAAATTGCTGAACCGATTATATCTTACTCGATTAATAACTCCATATGTACAGTTTAATTTTACGATCTAAAATATAAAAAAGGATCGTTAAAGTTTTTTGTATTAACACAACGAGTTTCAACCCACTATTCGTGTTTAGATCGACCATAGCAAGTTACAATTGACATTCCTTTTTGTTCAACTTTAAGTAAAAACCGATTAATCTATACTATTATAATAAAGCGTAAACACACACTTCTTTGTTGCCTAAGATGTCAGCAATCACAGGATATTTTCGAATAACTTTTTTTTTAAATAAAAAGCCCTACACTTACGTCACGCTTTGGGCTATATATTTTCACGCCGTTAAACTTAGGGGTAAATATTTTGAATAAAGACCCTAATGTCGGAAAGAGACTATAAGTTGCTGCCAACATCAAGAAAGAAAGATTGCTAAGGTTTGTCTGTCATTTTGACATTTGCTATTGAGAATTTGACAAATGTAAACAATAAAATAAAGTTTTTATAATTCCACGCGGATGAAGTTGCACGGGAATAGCTAGTGTTCAACTAAAATAAGTTAGAATTCTTTTCAATGGTAATATCAGTGTGTAGGCTGGGCCAACCTAGATTAAGTTAATGTATTTCTTATAGTCATTATCTGTTCACGTGCAGTCGTTAATAACTGGTTTAATATCATGTTGTGTATTGTTTATACGTATTCTGGACGTTCAAAGACATTCATCATAGTATATTGTTAACGCAACTAACCACTAGGTTTAGTTGACATGTCCGG